GGCGGTGCCCCATGCTGGGGAGACCCCAGCCGGCCCCTCTGCTGGGGCCGGGCCGGGGAAACACCTTCCCTAAGGGGCAGCACTGAACTGCCTTGCTGCTACCCCAACCAGTTACCGTAATTAAGCTTGTCTGGGAAAGGCGGGAAGAGGCACCCTAGAGATCCTCTGAGGATTAGCAAACTAATCTGTGTGGGGAACTCAAGGTGAAAACGTTAGTTTTTTGTCTGTCAATGCTGCTGTTTCTCCTTTAAAAAAATTTTTGGCTAAGCAGCTGTTTGGGGTAAGCTTAACTGCAACAGACACTTTCAGTTTCATTTTTTTTTTTACTCTCAGTTCTTGAAGAAACAAAGCTGAGAAGGATAAAGGGAAAAATTATGACTGAAGAGAGCAGGTTCTGCAAAAACTGGTAAGAGATCTCTCCATCTCCACTCCTACAAAGCGTGGGGGTCTCAGGAGTTTGCTAAGATTTTCCCTGCTTGCCTTAATGGAGAGACGGGGCAGGGGTAAGACAGGAGGGAGGGTACCTGCTGGGAGAGATGTAAGTTAGGCTAGCTACTGAGCCCTAAACAAAAAGATTTTTAGTTATTTTCACATTTCAAAGTTGCTGTTTTCTTGGTGCTTTCCTGTGGAGAGGTTTCTTCCATAGCCTTCTTCCATGCTGGAGGGTAGAAAGGCCATGTTCTCTTTTTACATAACATCACTGAGTGACCCTACCAAACCTTGCAGCTGCCTCAGTTTTCCCTCATGGCTAATGTTCCTTTCTGTTGCTGTGTTTGCAGCTAAGTGGCAAAATATTCGAGTTTTCAGGGTAATTGGCCATCTCTCACTAGAAAAAAAGTCTGAAGGGGGCTGTGAGAGATCACCTAGCCTGGTGCATCTCAACTAGTAGCTTGTAGGCCGTTAGGCGAGTTATAGGAAGGAAGACTGAAGCAGTGCAATTAAAAGCAGAGTCAAACCAGACAAGGCTAAACACAGCAAGGAAACAAAGAATCTGAGTTAAAATTAAACTAATAAGTAAAGCTTAGCTTGAATTTTATTTGATCACAAAAACCCCACCGTTCAACTTTGTCCAAAGAGGGCCTGTGGATTTCTTTCTAAAAGATTATAGGGGATCCTTTGAGTAAAACACTTGTTTAACACTGATAAGATTCCTGGGCAGAACCTACTGTGCCTAAAACACTTCTGACAGATGTCTCTCATGAGTTCTTAAAAACTCTCTGGTAACAGAGATTACACATCCCCACAGGAAATCCATTCTAGCGTTCATCCATCCTCATCGTGAGAAGCCTCTCTCTCATGATGTCTAAAGCAGGTTTCCTTGCTGCAACCTGTCTTCCCTGAGAAAATTAGAAGAGTTCATTGCTTACCTCTCTCCCTGGGGCTTTCTTGCTGTGTCTGCTCTGTTTTGGTGCTGAGCTGTTCCTAATCACGTGGCCTCATGCTGGCTATTCCCTCCATGTTGAGAGGTCAGCAAATGTGCTGGGCAGGCTGGTTCTGTGACCCAGTCATGATGTCAAGGTCTGTAACAGGACTAGCACAGACAGCCCAAATGACATCAGCTGCTCTGCCTCCCACCTCTTCGCAGGAGCCAAGCTAAACTGTACATATCCTTTCAGGCAGGTTTCTGCTCTTGCAGGCCAGTGAGGTTGCACAGCTCACCTTCAGCCACCAGGCCCTAATGACTTGTCTTATGTCAACCATTGGGACCTCCTGCCAGAGCGTCCCAGGCCCATTGCAGTAAAGGGTTTGAAGTGACAGGGACACACCTCACCTCCTGTTGCCCCAGACATAGATGTTTTTGGGCCTGAAGTAGTGAAGCAAACATCCTAAGGCAAGTCTCATGGGATCAGAGCAGGCCCTGCAGGCAGAGGAAGCCTGGGAAGCAGTTGGGGGGGGGGGGGGGCCGAGGGGGGGGGTTCAGCCATCCTGAAGCTGTTCCAAGGGGGGCAATAGCAGTTTTACACTGCTGGAAATCCACACTTGGAAGCTCTTCAGAAGGTCTCACTCAAGCTCTGTTAAATTGTATCTCAGTCCTAGCCAATGTCATAAACGCATCAGTTATTAAAATCAAACAACCGATTCCTGTATAGACTATGTGGCTCTTCCTGAACCCATTGAGCATGGTGACAACATCTCTGTGCCTTTCAGCCGAGAGAGGGCGTTCATGAGAACAGAGCAGGTCCTTGGCTGGACTACCTTATAATTGGTCAACTGGGAGCCAAAGAGCTGTAAATCTTGGGATGGTTCAGATGACATCCAGAAACGTCTCCATTTACAGAGAGGGACCCCTCTTTTTTTGCAGCTATGAACAATGTAGGCAACAGCTGTGGCTCTTCCTGAAACAAAATTTGGACCCATATACCAGGAGCCTGTAGCAGCTGCCCTGTCCCTTTCAGAAGGGCCCCCAGTAATATCGCAGAACCTCAGTAGCAGAGCTCAGTCATCCTACCTAATGAGACATTTAGAGAATGAGAACTACAAATATTTATTCCTACTTTTCAGGGACAAACCAGTTGAGTTTTAACCAGTTCATTCACTCCTTTCCATTTTTGTACTTGGTAGTAAACGAGATGTGTCTGCTGCCAATTTCTCCCTCCACGAGGCCCACTGCCTGCGGTTTCTCACTCTCTGTCCAGAATGTGATGAACCCGTTGCCCAAAAGGATATGAATGACCATCAAACAGAAGCACACAAGCAGGTAAGGTATGCTCCGCTTTCTTCGGGTTTTTCTTGCAAATACCAAAAAGCTCTGCCAGTCCTGTTGTATGTTCATGGTACAGTGATCTATATTAAATATTTGAACTTCCATAATTGTTTAACCAGAAAATCTGTAAGGGTCTAATGTAACCGTTCAGTCCTGTGTACAGCATCTTTTGATCTTATTGCACACTCAGCTTCAGGGAATATAGCTCCCCCAGTAATACAATTACAGATCAGACATGAATACATGCTACTACTGCTTGTAAATTAGCCAGAGCATGCAGTACAAGTTTATGCCACCTATCACTATTGTGTGAGCTCTGTGTCAGTCATAGAGGGATGAACAGTGCCTGCTCCACTGTAAAGTTAGATGATGCAGACAAAGATGGACAGTACCTGATCTGACATAAACTTTGCTTGTACAAACTTACAACTTAAAAACAAAAAAAACCAGAAGTGAACTGGCAGAGTAAGCTGATTGGCCCTTCATGTAGCAAGTTCATGGCTTTTTTAATCTAGCATTAGGAACCCTGCAAGTAGAGGTCCTATTTTGAAGCCTGAATACATAGGCATGATTTTTTATTCTGTCTTACTGGTTTAACTAGTAAGTGTTGAGGTTTAACTTTCAAGTTAAACCTCAGGCAAAATTTTGAATACTCACTTTGTATTTCACATGGGGAGCTTTCAAAATTGGATCCCTGCACAGAATGACAGCTTCCTGTAGAATCATCAGGTGTGGATTTTCCTCAAAATCTCAACAACATAGCTCAGGTCTGATTTGTCAGTGACTGGGATTAAAACAATCAGGAGCTCATCACAGCAGCTTGAATTTATATTGCCATATGAAAGCACTAACCATCCTGCCATGCTCCCAATGAACTGCTCTATGCTGCACTTGCAGGTCAGATGTAATCTTTGTCACCAGAGTATGCAGCAGTACCAGCTGGAGTGTCACAAGGTAAGTACAGAGTGCGATATTTGTCATCCTCTAGGCTGACCCCTTTGACCAGCCACCAAGAGTCAAACTAATGCAGGCAACAGCAAAAATGTATAAATCCCTGCCTCCTGTCCTGGACCATCAGACAAACTTCTTAACAATGGCATTGTTTTGGCATATCTTTTAACCCCCTGTAAATAAGTATATCCTGTGGTGGTTATCCATCCAGTCCTGCTGTGATATGCTGTTTTAGGAAATAATCTATTACTTTCTCATCCTTGGTTCCTCAGGCTGCTGTTTGAGAACTTCCCAAAGACATTTCTGTCCTGCCCCCAAACTCATATTACCTGCTTTTCTAAAGGTGAGGTTACACAAAGTGAGAGTCCTCCCTCACGCAGGAACCTTGCACAAGAATTGTCATGGGTGTGAGGCCAGGGAAACAGCTAAGGAAGAGATACACAAAGGAACTGGCAGCAGTTGGGAAGCGAGAACAGCCTGTCCATTCTAGATTTAGTCTAACAATTTCAAGGAACCAAAGCAGTGAACACACAGCAGCCTTCACCTTATTCTGGTAGCTAGGTATTGGAATTTTCTAGGTGGGCTTATGCTCTGTTGCTAACCTGTACTGATGCAACACATCTTTACTGGTGTTGATTCTCATTTTGCCTTGTATTGCCCACATTCTCCTAACGTAAAGCTATCCTACACAGGCCAACTCCATGCCTTCATTTGGCTGTGCAGATACATTCTTAAACAGTCACTCATTCCTCTCGCCTAATGCCCTCTTTTACTATTGATGGAAAGTTCACAGTAATTTCCTTTGTTCGCATGCAGGCCAAGGAATGCCATGAACGAGCAACAAAATGCAAGATCTGTGAGCTGGAAATGCCCTTCAACAAGCTGCAGGAACACCTGAATACCTGTGCCAGCCGAACAGAGCGGTGTTGGGGATGTAACAAATATGTCATGTACAAAGACCAAAACAAACACAAAGATATCTGTCAGAAAAGTGGTCCATCCAACCGTAAGGATGTGAACTTTCAAACCAATGAAGCATCTACTCACGCAACATTAACTTATCCAATCACTGGTAACCAGAATTCCTCACTGTCATGTACAGGCTCACCTCTGTTAAAGCTCAATGACAATTCTCTTGCCTTCTCTACAGCCCTCAGTAATTTAGCCTGGAAAGGACTGTTGTTTAACCAACCGCAGTGAAAGGGACAAATGTTGTTTTCAGTTACGCTTGTTATTTTAAAGTCAAGTGATTCCACCAGCTTCAGGATTCAAATATCCTGAAGTTTAAAGGAAAGAATGTTGGGTTGGTTGAGTGGTGCCAACAGCAGAAGGTACTCCCAGGTCTAATTCCTTCTCAGTCAGTGGAATTAGCATCCTATCCTTCTCTAGCATCAGTGACCATAAGGTGGGTTTGAGCAGACTGTCTAGGTGACCTATGTGAGTACTGTTTCTCTCCATTTTCTCCTCCTGAAGGTAACAGTGACAATCTTTGTTTGAAGTGCAATAAGTCATTCCCAGATGATCAGTACTCCCAGCATCTGGTAAGTAGATTTGAAGCTGCATCAGAGAACAGTTAATTTCTTAATTTCTAGTCAGGTTATTTCTTTGAAAAGCTGTACGTTATATAAGAAAGGACAGTGTGTTTTGGCTCTTCAAACTTTGGTTTCCTGATGCAACATTTTCAGCTGCAGCATTCCTGTGAGATCATCTTCACTGCCCCTCCCCATGATTCATGCCTGTCTCAAACCACAATACACTCCACAGTTGGGTGCCATGCCATCCTTCACTTTGTTATTGTTTTCTTTTTACAGAATAAATGCAGCGCACCCCATACGCTGACCAAGGGTCTTGCTGGCCAGAAAACTTCAAAACCCAGCACTGACCTTCCTCAGTCTTCTTCCTCCCTGGCTCTCTCTTCCACTTCTGAGAACGCAATGGCATGGAAAGACATCCGTCCCAAAGGGAAAGAAAGGGACCAGCCGTTGACCTCCAAAACCTTGCTCAAACCTCCGAAGAACAAAAAGAGGCTCAGCTTTCCCTCCCCCACAAGGGGTGGGCTTTCCAAATCACCTCAAGCTCTTAAAGATACCCTGTCTTATGACATGATGGTGACCTGTGCTCACTGCAACATTCTCCTGCCACTTCCAACCCTTCGGAAACATGAGGTGAGAAGTGACACCTTGGACTGTCTCCTATGTGCTTGAATGAGGGGCATACCTACAGAGTCACTACCCACCACCTGGGGTCCCAGGGCCTATTCCAAATTCCAGAGCTACATATGAAACATTGGCTGCAGCTACATCCTCTCTGTAAATCATGGAATTGCCTAATTCCATTAGCTATTTATGCTCGCATCCGTACAGACTAGCTCCGTTACCTACAGTCTGTCTCAGTCCTAGGAAAGAGGAATGACTGGAGCCATCAATTTTAAGATCAAATCCTAGAAAGTCTTCAGCACTCTCCTTATTTTCTATAGGCTGATATTGTTCCTTTAAAAAGATACCATTGATTCTATCTCAGCTGCATCAGAGATGGAACTCTGGATAAGTTTCAATCCCAATACAGGGGCCCACTTGTCCCGTTACTGAATATAGTGTTAAACTCTCCTCTAATATGATTGTTATTTATTTGTCAGATCAAGTGTCTACGTTTGACATCTTTACAAAACGCTAGGATGAACCCAAAATCAAGTCATGGAAAAGAAGGTATTGCAGAAATTCTGTCATCCAGAATTTTTCTGTATTGGGTGAATTGGAACAATGGGATATTTTGTAGAGGAAGTGCATCTAGAAGAACTAACATTCTGAAAACTACAGAGGTCTTTGGTATTCCAACATGCTGGGTTCCCATGAGGTAGTTGGAAAGACTCAGTAGACAGTTTTTGTAACAAAGCAGTAAAAAAGGCTAGATTTTCCATTTGATAATTGAATTAAGAGCTGGTTCAAGTCAAGATAATAAAAAACACAATTTTTGGCTTCCTCAGCATTTTTTCTCAAAATGAAAGAACAAGTATGAAGAATGCATTTAAACAAGTTGGAAATGAAAAGATAACTTATCTCTAAAAGATTGTATGTTCGCAGCATAAACTACTCACAGAAAATCATGTCTGATCACACTTAATCCAAAAAATACCTTTTTCAGTCAATTTTTTAAGCAGGCATTGCTTCAAAACCAGTACATTCCTCACTCTGACTCACGCGTGTACACACACAAAAACACATACCATACCTCTCAAATTGTGCTAGTATGAACAGGGCAGTACCAGCCCCACTGCAAGTGGAGATCAGCACAAAAATTTCACAGAACAGCCATTCTGTTCTGGGTTTGTCTGTTCGAATGCTGAATGTAGGTTTACAAAATAGTTTCAGAAGACAAGAAGTAAAATTCATCTTTTCTTTGTAGTAAAAATTATGTATTCAATAGAAGCATTGATTTAGTTATTCAGGACAACACTTCTAGCAGAGCTTGCACTGATCCACAGGTACTAGGTAACTCTTTCCTCCCACTGTCCCTCCCAAGGCTGTGAGTCTCATCAATTCTCCCTTTGCTAATATCTTTTGCTTTGATCCTAAGCAGTATCCTTTCCTCTCAGCCCAATTAAATGAAACTCAAAGCAGTTGTTCTCAATTTGTGCTTATCTCCCTGATTCAGTAAAAGAATACCTTTACTTCTCCCTGTAAAATATTCGTCTCCTGCTAAAATAAAGACAACAAGCACCGCAGTGCACAGTGGAGGGTTTGTCTAGTTTTGAAGTGCAGGATGACTCAAATAAGTACATGGTAACTACATGGATTATTTGACTTGCATTGTTTCTTTAGACTGTTCTACTTAATGATGACAGAGACAGGAAGGCTGTAAAACTGAATGTCTCTTTAACAAGACTGATAACTGGACTTTGTTTGTTTTACAGAAGACTCCTTTTAGGACACTCGTGCTTAAACCTGGAAATAAAGATGCATCTTCAGAATGAAGCTTCAGCTCGACTTTAGCAAAAGGCACTGGAAGTACACTAGCTTTATTGACAAAAAAATAAAAGAGACTCACTACTCTGGATGAAGAACAAAAAGTGGTTCTGACTTTTATTCCTTATTAAGGGAGGCATTTAACAGATTTCATCAGAAAACTCTAAGAATAATGGGGCTCAACAGATGTTATTTCAAATATTTCTGTGCAAGCTTGCAAGACATGCATTCCACCTCACTGCAGCAGGGAGAACAGCTTATTTTAAAATGTTTTTGTGAGGGGAGGGAAGGAAATGAACAACTCAAAATTACTTGTCATGTTGAGCATCTGCCCTTGCTGTCACTGAGTGCTGAGACCTTAATGTGTCTTAAGGCATCACCTAGTCAAATTTGAAAACATTAAGTTCTGCTCTCCACTTCAGTGGGAATTTCACCACTGAACCTAGGCCTGGCCCAAACAGCTTAGCCTCAGGAGATTGCAGACACATCCAGGGACAACTAAGGGTGTTCACCTGATAGAAAATGGTCCAAATGGAAGCTCAAAGAGCCTCATGGTGGAAGAGGTAAACATGTAGAGTGAGTGGGTGCTGTCTCGTGTACATTAGCAAAGCAGCATTTGGAATGGCATCTTCCAGCCATAAGCACTGAGTTGCATGTTAACAGAGCAGTTATAAGGAGCCTTTTTCCTCTCATCCACCTTTAGCAGTGTTTAATCTTACATACGGGTGGCTGAAACTGATGTGCATGCTGAACTGTGATTTGACTAACACCTCACGTATCAGATCCAAGCTTGTTGCTCTCTGCATCATTTAAGCACAAAGCCTGGATGCAAAGTTAGGCTGAGTTTGAGAACGCTCTCAGCACGAGCTCAAGCTCATTTACACACAGCGTAGGCACCTCCACATGGACAGAGATGAGCTGAACACGCCAGTAGATAATCTGAGAGTAGATACCTACAGTCTAGCAGCCCCTGGGCTAATGCCAGCAATGCAGATGGGACAGAGGTTAGACATGTGGCCTGATGACTGTAAGTAACTCCTGAGACCAGCCTTAACCTCTGCAGCATGGAGGCTGTTTCTAACAACCAGCTACGTTTCCTCCTTGTGTTCTGACCTCTTTGATCTGAATCTAAAACTCTACTATTCAAGGGCTAAGAGTACATAACTTGACTCCTCATCTGTCCTGGACATTTTGGGGATCAGAATCTAGAAAACTGCATCTGAAACCCTGCAGGAGTACTTTAATCACATTTAAGATGAAATTTCCAAACATAGTCTAAGACACTGCTCTTACTGAGATTCATTTTAAACTTAAATTGTTCTAAACTTCTGGTAACTAGATCTAACATTAAAGATGGTACTATGAAAGAACATTTTGCATATTGAGGTGAGGGGGTGTGAAAACATGCCTGCTAAATCCATATCACTCTATGCATGAGTTCATCCTCTTACATTGCACTAGGTTAGACCTTCACATAGTTTGGTGTGCTTAATAGTCTTTGATACACATCACAGGCATGGACATATCTCCATACAAACATAAGCTCTCACATAGCATTGCTTATTTTATGGTCTGGACAGGTTCCAACAAAGCTGAACTTTAACACCTTACCAGGGCTCCTAGGAGCTCGTTCTTTATGGTTTTTCAGAGTCTTTTGAGGAAGGTTGGTAAATATAACACGATCTGAAGAGAAACGTAAATACAAATAGAAAAAACTAGTCTGGAAATGAGCTTGGTAGGCAACTATGTATATGCTTATATATATATATAATATGTAGCCTTTATACAGAGAAGGAAAAATTTCATCCATTTGAAAAGAATCTTCAAAAAGTTTTACTGCCCACAGGCAAAAGAGAATGCACTGCACACCAAAACAGCCCTTTCAATTACTTAGTCTCTGACCAGAACTGTCCCCTTTCTTTTAAACCCTCCAGGCTCTTTCTTAGGTGCCTTAACTGGTTTTTAATCAGATGGTCAGATTGCTGCAATCAGTTAGCCGTTGCTCTGTTATTTCTGTGCCGGTGTTCAGGTGCGGAAGCCTGCCTGGCTGTTCACTCCGTAGCCAAGAGTGCTCCAAGTGAATCGACAGACACCAGCATCTAGTGATGTTCCCTACTTACATACAGGGTGCTAGAGCCATTCATGGCTTTGCTTGGCCTGCAGCAAAGGTCAGAGCTTGACTCAAGCTAGACTTTCCCATTCCATATGGGTGAGAAACACACAGCAACAGAGAGAATCACAAATGCTATACAGGATTCCCCAAATCATCACACAGACCAGAACTCCAGGTCTGTGCAATGTTAACTATGCGCATATTTTGCTTTGAGCCATTTATGAACCTCTAACAAATCAGGCCTCCCCTTAGATCAGAGGGTTGCCATTCCCTGGGCAGAAGCTTTAATACATATTTTTTCCCTTGGCTGCCCAGGTGTCTTCCTCAGCTTTCAGGGGTGTCACATGAGAAAGCTGTAAGCTATCTCTGCTCTGAGATTCCTCATGTGTTTTTGCCCCATACTTCCAGGCAAAGGCTTTCCCTTCAGGTCAGACCCTTAGGAAGCTGCTGAGCTGGCTTCTCTCCATTTGCACTGGGATGAATCCAGGCTGTGCCTGGGACATCACAAGACCTGCAAGTCTCTGTGTTACAGGGCTACACTCTGTATTTGTACTTAGCCACAATAGAGTGCAAGGGAGCACCCTGAGCCCTTCCTTGTTGGGGGTGAGGAAGAACACTGAGGTCCAAGTACCTTTCCAACACTGCAACACAGTAATCACAGCTCATAGCTAGTACTCCTTGTGGCACAAAAGTAGCTTCTATTTTATTTTAGGGACCAAAACGTCCTTTCTGGTTACCTTGATTTTGTTGTTTGTGTGATCTGTTTTTCAGACCTTTGATGCTTCCAGGATTTAATCCATTTCTTCTCTTAACAGAAACAAGAAGTCAAGAATTTCTCTAGCACTCCCCTATAGTTTTACAAAGGGTAAGTGGGTTCCTGTGTACAGATTAGGACTAAGCAACAGACAGCTTCCCCCCAAAGGTTGCAATTCCAGCAAGCTGTTTTGGAAAGTTGGTTTTCTCTCAAGACTTGTCCTCACAGAGTAAAGAGATTCTCACTCCAGCTAACTCTTTCAGAGCAATTAACCCTAAGTAAAACACCAGAAAGTAAAGGCAAGACTGTTTCTAGTTTTCATAGGAAACAGCAAAATTGAAGTTCAACAAGTCAGATTTCAGCTACAAAAAGCCTTGTAGGACTGTACCTGAAACTCCCTCTTTTGAATAAGATGACTTCAGTAAAAAACACACCTCTTTCC